ACGCATTAACACATAGTGGATTAGGAACCCGCCTATATATCCTACTATTATATAAAGTTTTTTAATTGCAATACTGGTGTACTAAATTTATACATAATGTTATCTTAGAACTTATCAAGTTTCCTTAAAAATCCCCTATTTTTTAAAATTCTGTCCATAGACTTCTAGCATTTACCTAAAATAAACTCGATATTCCATAATAGGAGCCTTACTTATAATCCTGAACAACATTTAAAGGGTCTTAGCCGTCGGTCGGACACCTTGGACAATGCTAATGCGGGTGGTACTGTACCTTTCGAGCCTTATAACTCAAAAAGTACTTTATAAAAAATAACTTTATTGCAGTGTTTTAAAAAACTCTTGACACTCGCTATTAGAATTGATTCTAGAATCAAAAATAGTGTGTGCAATTTAAAAAATCTATGTGACCTGACCTTGGCAGCACCCAAGGTCAGACTGACCAGATCAGTGAATAGATCATTTTAAATTCTACAACTTTTATAGAAAATATCTATTTCGGAAATGTTTAGTTTTCGAGATATTTCATCGCGGTCTGAGACTTTCTACTCATCTTGTATAGTAACACAAATTCACATTGAATTATTAAAGATCCAGTTTCGATTGTTATGGACCTTTATTTTCTATTTCATAAAAATTCGAACTATAATACAATATAACGTAGAATTTATAACAACATATATGTTTATATTTTATATTTTAAAACAGCAACTATTTATTTTTAATTAATAATAATCTTTAGTAATGATAAAAAGAGAGTTGAATACTTTTCTTTAACATTCTTAAAAATTTATTATTGATAGAATATTAAGAATGTGTAAATAAAAACAATAAAAGTTATAATAAAATAATACAACTTACAATAACATATAACAATTTACATTAAGGATCAGCGACACATAAACATGGAATTATTAGATATTGCGCAGACTGGTATTCTGCACGTGTAGCGCAAGCAACTTCATGTTTGTGTACGTCTTTTAAATGCTTGTAGATCTGTGAGGACTGCAACATTTTTGGATTAGACAGTATACTATAAGATAATTATTACTTTATAGCGTATTGATAATTACATATAACTAAACTCCCAGTCGCATGTCATTGAAATCTATTTCTTCTAAGCCGCTATACACTATCGCAATACGTATTTATAAATTCCTTTAGATGTAGTGGATGTCTTTCTAATTTCAACTCAGTAAATTATTTTGTTATTATCGATAATATGTCCGCAAAGGAGGACATGCTTAGCTGTATATTATAAGAAAAGGAATATGTGTTTACTTTATATACACTGTCACATAGAGAATAATATGTGTATATGAATAAGAGGAAGTTTGAAGGGATATTAATTGTTCAAGCTTTATTAATAACTTTAAAACATTGACAGAAATGTTTTATTCTTCTGGAAAAACATGATGCATTAACAGATATGTGAAATAGAGGTAAAGTATATTTATTAGAAATTACACATGTTTTCCAACATATAGCCTGAGGATAACTCATCTATATCCACACAGTATGTAATTGCAATAATATCACAACTTTCAATGTAATATCATAAAAATATTACTGAGATACTACATTGCAAAGTATTATAATGTAATATTACAGTAATTTTATTGAGATATTTGTACAATGTGATATATTATAGTGTAATATTATTGCAACATTATTCAAACATTATCAAATTACAATGTGAGAAAGGAGATATGTTCACTGTAATATTATTTTATTGTTCAAATATTACTTACTGTCTTGTATGGTTGCGAGCAATACGCGATACCGCCGAATTAGAGACAGCGGGATATAGTTTTTTTAAGTAAGTACCAAACAGGTGCAGGGTTATAAGATCTTTTATCTGTGATTTTTGAATAATTATACTTGAAATAGTTTTTTAAAATGAATTTTTTAAAAGGATTCAGTGATGAATATTAGGCGGTTTCCGACATACTGCTAATACAAAAATGTATAGGTATTATACTTTTCATTACTGATATATATCGTAACATAGGCTAAATTTTTTGACAATGCAATTTTTAATTATGTATTGTATATTAATTATTATATATAAATTAAGTTAGGGTATGATATTCTCGGGTTGCAATCGAGAAGCTCGCTATCAGCGCTATTGTGTCTTTTTGCTTTTATTATTTTTTATTATTCTTTTATTATTCTTTATCGTTCATTAAATCTAATTTTTCTATTCTTCTTTTAGATTCTAAATCAAGAATAGGATAATACAGCAGCGCTAATAGTGTGCTCTTTGAATATAATAATAACTCCTTTGAAAGTTAATATTGCTAGAATATTATACTATAATTTGCAAAAATATTTCTACTATGGATTTTCGCGGACACTTAATATTGCAGTAACATTTATACAATGTTACTGATATATTACCATGTACAATAATATTACAGCAATTTTGTAATATTACCGCAATGTTATTGTAATATTACATGCTGTATGAAGACAGATGAGTATATTAGAAAATTGTACTAATAAACTTTTTTTTTCTTATTTTAATATACTTTAATTTGGAAGGTAATATTCTTAATTAAATTTAATTAATGTTTTCAAAAGGATACGCTGGATCTTAAGTGTTTTTGGTATTCATAGTCAGTTCTTATTTTAAGATCGTCTTAAGTAATGTCTGAAGTAAGATGTTAATATAGTCTGATTGGTTTATAAAAGCAATATATCTTAAGACTGTACTTAAGACGATCTTGAATATAAGACTTGACACTATGAATATCGGCCTTAAATAATTCGGTGTAAAATATTCTTATATGTATAATATGTAGTCTTTTAAATTGCACGCTGAAATGATTTTTTTATTTTGAGACACAAACTCGATTGAACTACAATAGTTCAATCGAACTACAATAGAACATTACAAACTAAATTGACTAGAAATTTAATAATTTCATACTTAGAGAACATCTTAGATATCATAAAAATCTTAATGATGCTGAATAACATATTAAAATCTGAAAATATATAATTATATTGCGAAAAATATTACCTCGACCGAGGATCGAATTTGAATTTCTTACATTCTGTACAAGCATTCTCACCATTAGACTTTAGCGCGCAATTAAAGTACTACATATGTAGTATATAAATTTACATCGAATTAAGCACTTAAGAGCAAGTGACTATTAAAAGTGTTTGACCGTTAAAAGTATTTATTCCTTACTTGTTAATACACTTGTAATAACATTTATGATCCTTAAAAATTTTTAATTTAATATTGTAAATGCAGTTAATCAGATTTTTTAAACAATTATACTATAGATGCTACTAAAATAATATATACAACAAGATTTATATTTATATTATAAATTAAATCTTTATGCGGCTATAATTAGTAAATAGTAATTGTATATAATGCATGGACACAATAAAAATGCATATATGAGAAAGAAATAAAATGAATGATTTAAAACCTTAATTGTCTTTCACTTTACAGAACTTTTTCTACTCGTTATAAAAAGCAATACTGAGTTAATGGACTTTCAAAGCATGAATCCTTTCAACGTTCGGTTAAATCTGCTTTCGGGCAATTTGTTACCGATGACCGACAATTCGTCATTTCCAGTATTATGGAAGATATATAGCGCTATTGTGTGGCTATTTGAATTGGTTTACACAGTCACATTAATCGCTGCCTTCTTTGTAGTACCAAAAGAGAAATCATTGAACGATGGAGTACTTGCCTTCATTACCATATTAGAATCAGGTTTGATAGTAATACGAATACATACAACACAGACAACATTGCTACAACAAATTATACG